TCTATGTATAATATCCTGATGCCTTCCGTGTATTGCACGTGTACTTCATACAGGAGCTTAACAAACTACGGACTCCAGTCTGATCCTTCTCTGTGCTCCTTTTGCTTTCTTTTCTTCGCACATGATCCTTAACAGGCTCCATTCATAAATCTTTCGTCTTCAATAAAGATTGTACTAGATAGATCGTCAAATTTAGGTGTCAATCAAGATGTTGCTGCAGAAGGGTCCCAGGTGCCAGGATAAATCTGTACCAGATAAATTCAGCACATGTTTGGTAACTCGTAACTTTCACAGAACATGCTTGGTAACTCACTCATACGAATCTCAATGACATGCCAGAACAGTTTTATGTTCCAATAAATTACTACACCCCACCACCAAATTCAGAAATTAGTATAGGTTATGTTCTTGTTTTAAGTTTTAACATACCCAAGTTACTCTCTTGCTCAATATCTACTCTCCAGCTCAATATCCACATCTTTTTTGGTTATACTCCCTCCGTCCCAAATTATAAGCCACTCCAATTTTCTTATAGAGTCAAAACATCTCAAGTTTGACCAAATTTATATAATAAAATAATAACATTTAATTCTTCATTAATTATATTTTTCGTAGTATACCTATTTGTTATCATAAATCTTTGTAATTCTCTCTGTAATTTTGACTCTTCAAGAAAGTTGGAATGACTTATAATTTGGAGGTCGGAACGGAGGAAGTATACATTCTTATAAGCCAATCTATAACACTCTCCTCTCACTCAAATAGCTCACACAATACCGATCAAACAAAATAGCTCATACAATACACATTCTTCAAAGATAATTTTTCAAGGATGTCCAGCAAAACAGAGACAGCAGGGGCACTAGTAGAACTCTGATCTCACCTGAGGCAACTTTTCTATGTCAGAAACCAACACTAGTGACTTACATACATTTCTACCTGTTCAACTATCCATGCATACTCTCCAATTGCTCAACTATATACAAGAGTTTGGACCATTTATTTGTACCGAGAGGGCGAGATAGAAAAAATGAATCAAAACTAAATAGTGTGAACTACCATGACCGGTGGGTAGACTCCAAGTCTCAACCGGTGGTCACATGACATAACTCCAGTTGGGCCATCTTGTACTCTACACACAAGATATTTTACACTGCTTCAACATTAAACCTGAGAAGAGGACCCTACAGGTTTTATGGCCATTATTATATGTTATATGTCCTTCATAGACAATGGCAAGATGGAAAATTCCTAACATGTTGAAGCACAATTTTATAAGGCATTTCCTATATAAAGCCAGCCATGCACTGCAGAATCATATCACACAGCAAAGCCTCAAAACGTGATCAGAGCAAAGAAAAAGAAAGGTGAGAGTGGGAGAAAAGAGATATAGCCCATAGAACATGGCTCTTATAGCCGATGAACTCAAGACCAAGGCTGAGGTCTACTACGGCGACGAGATCTGCCAACTGTGTACCCAGCTCTTGCTCAGGGAAGCAGGCCTCCCCAATGGTCTGCTTCCATTGAAGGACCTAATTGAGTGCGGTTATGTCCAGGAAACTGGATATGTGTGGCTCAAGCAAAGCAAGAGGGTTGACCACACCTTCCAGAGTCTAGGAAGGCTGGTCTCTTATGGCACAGAGATCACCGGCTATGCTGAGAAGGGCAGGATCAAGAAGGTAAAAGGGATAAAGACCAGGGAGCTCATGGTGTGGGTCCCAGTGGAGGAGATTGCTCTTGATGATCCAGCAACTGGGAAGCTTATCTGCAAGAGCATTGCTGGGATTACCAAAACCTTCCCTGCATCAGCTTTCCATGTCCCAGTGAAGGAGAATGTGAAGATGAACTGTGCTGCACCGAAACCAGTGGTCCTCATGGAGAGAGCTCCACGAGTTGTTAAAAACAACTGAGCCTTCTGCATCCACCACTGGTATTTGGATTTAACGGTCATCATCAGCCCTTAATCCTACATATTTAAATAATGATTGAACTAGTGCTTTATTGTCTGTCTATGTACTTCGAAAGTGATAACCCAAAGTTCTTCCTATATACTGCAGTTGTATGATTGCCCTGGCATCTAATGTCCTGTAAGGCAACCTCCGAACTTCCTTTCATGTACTATGTAGCTCTATATTACTAATATGAAGCATGTTGTGGACTTCTATGAGATGTTTCCTTTTTTCTCTTTGCAGAGAAAATATCACCGCATGATTACTTTTCCATGTACTATACGAATAAAATAACACCTTTGGAGATATACCTCTATATTACTAATATCTTTTCAGAGAAAATACCATTACATGATGCTTTCCTGTCATATTTTTCATCATATTTTCAGACAACACAATACTATGAAGTGTTATGTATTTTTTATTTTCCATCTTTACTTCACAAAAAAAAAAGACATGAAAAGGCATGTGAATAAGAAGGAACAAAAAGTCTAATCTATAAAAGGGAAAACAATATTTGCATGACTTGTAATTATGATCTATAAATGGTCTTTGCAACCATTTGTTGTTGTTGCAATAATAGACTTTAGCAGGTGCACAAGTGGACGATGAAAGTTTTACCCACGAGATTAAAATACGAGACAGTCAAGGTTAGCTAGCTATACAAACCATCAAGTAAGGTGGTAGGGACCATTTTCCTGTTTATAGAATCAGGATCCTAGGACGTTTTCCTGTTTATAGAATCAAGATCCTAGGACTGTATCATCAGACCATGGGATGATCAACAAAATCATGATTATTCAAAGTACAATTCGTTGGCTTCTATATTATGAGGTTTTCCCACTACAAAATGTCATTTTTGGATACATGCAAGTTTGCCTTCCGAAATACTTTTATAATACTAATGACTTACTATGATTTAAAGATGTACTAAATATAGATGCTGCATTTTGGAGCCCATGCTGATGCCCAAAAACCAAATGATATGCTTTTATGGATTGAGGGAGCGAGATCAAACTAGGGTTAGGATCAAAGCGGTCCAATAGACAGTAGGGCTGTGAGACCATACCACAAAAATCAAGACCGAACAACCTTGATGACAAGGAAACTCAATATATGTTATTGCTAAGACTCGGTATAAGATTGTTTAGCACCAAGAGATCAATGATTAACATGTCCAGTAGTTCAGCTTCAAAAGGATGTACTCCCTTCGTCTACGTTCCCGTGGAGAGACTAGGAATATGTGAAATTACCAATATACCCCTGTCTGTGATCAACCACCCTGCACCAGATTCAGGCCCATTCATGTCAAAGCCGGCCAGTGGTACTCAGCCACCACGGGTGGTGCGTGGCATGGGCGAGCTCGGCCCCCTCCGCCAGAAGCTTGTGCAAGCAGCCTTCCAGCGGCGCGGGGGGTTGGGGCGGTGGAGCCTGAGGAGGATCGCACGGGGGGAGAAGACCAGAGGATTCGTGGATAGGAACTAGCTCGAAGGAATCTTTTTTTTTTTTTTTTTGAGGAAAAACAGGAGGGTGCAAGCCCCTACTGTGCTTTTATTAATGAAAGAAAGTGTTTACAACAGGCATTACGAGACAAAAAAAAAGTTACAAAGAAAATCATAGCCCGAAGGAATCTTTACTATATTTTTTCCAAAAAAAAATCTTTTACTACGGATCCCACTGAAATTGCATCCTTTTACACGGACGGAGGGGGTAGTTACAGCAGAGTGCATGACCAATCCTATCAGTTGATATCAGGATATGCACATACCACAAATGTAGTTGTCCTGTACTATGTAATGTAGCCTACATACAGAAGTTAGTGGACTGGTTCCTTCATAGAAGACATACACGGCCTTTAGAGAAGTTCCCAAAAGTCAGGTAAGGACCAGAACTGTTACAATAAGATATGGCGGTACTAAATTTTGAGGACGGGAGGAGCACTTGAAACCATGAGCTTGTAGAGGATAGATCTGCATTAATCGCACCGAATTCTTAAAATTGGCCAACACTGTTAGGCATAATCGCTTTGTGCATCAAAGTACTATGAAACCAGACCATCTCCCATCCTACACCCACCCCGTTAAGGACGAATTCAATTACAGAACCAAATAGCCCCTGCATGGCTACATGTGTCAACTTCACTTAACGAGAATAATTGGCTATCATTGTACCTTCTGCTGACAGGTTTTATCTCAATTTTTACTCAAAAACCTTCACACCCCAGTTAAATCATTTGTATGCCACTCACCTCATAATGGCATTGGTAAATATCCTAACTGTGACCAAGCCAGCTTACTTTATGATAAAATTTCATTTCTTTATGGAGACTATGGTCAATGATATATAATGGATAATAAAAAATATAAATGTGGGAAGATAACTCATGCATGACTGATGCATGGTGGATATACTTATACAGGGGATTACTTGGAAAAATAGTGTCAGAGTTAGTTTGAAACTCCTATAATGATAGTAGGTCTGATCATGTGATGGATGCAGGGATTTAGACCAGAAATAGCAGCCATTAACTCACATGACTTGAATGTGTATATTCACAAAGACATTAATGAATCACAGAGGATTAGACAACAATGTCTTTGTTGCCCACATTGTCAGTCAGACATTTCTCCATAAGGCATCTTCCATTAAGAAGTGCAAGACATAGGTCTGAGCTAGCAGATGTAGATATTTTGAGTTGGTAAAACAAAATTTAGTAGGATATGGGTCCACATGATGCTAAAACAGCCAAATCTTCAGTCAAATGAAGAATTTAACATGCAAATAATTCCAGAGGAGATAATAATAAAATAAAAGAAAGGTATATATAAGATACTTACTGCCATGATAAATAGTGCACATTGCAATTTATCCACAAAAAAGAGAAACTTCTGCTTCACAGAACTTTTTATTTACTTTATCTAGAGGACAAATCATGCTACTTACCTACAGAAACAAGAGCAAGCAATTTTAGATAGATGATATATGGTGAAAGGGAAAAATCAAAAATCAGATTCTGAAATTCTCTCGACTCACCAACTAGAGTAACAAGCATCAGGGAGAAATAGCATAAGAAATATCCTCATACTCAATGTAATGAATCTTCTTCTTGCGCAAAATTGGTGAAAAAATGGATCTTATAAAGCGACTGAAAGGATCCTGCAAGCCTTCCATTTCATAATGACCAAATCGCCAATCCCGCAATATGAATGATCTCTGGATAGGCCGATCTAAACCCCCTGAAGAACAAAAGGCTCATTTTTCTTAGGTGGAGACAGCAACCACAGTTTATACCAACTAAAATTTCTATTTCAGCTAGGTTTTTTTGTGTCTCTATATGCCCTTTGGTAATTATTAACTCAACTGTATCAAAAAAAATTATGTAACTCAACTGAAGGAGTTGTAAGGAGTTGTGGTATGAATTCAATATAAGAAAAACTAACATGGAGCGACACTCTCGACTCCAAGAAGCCTGAAGGCAGTAGCCATTGGCATATTTTACAATATGTCAATAGTTTTTGTTTATCCTACTTATCAAGTTGTTTTAAGAGAAACAAGCCATTACCCATGAATAATGTCAATTTAATAATATAACAGAATGTTTCGGGAAGAATCAGCACATACCTGCATACATCCGACCATGTTTATCTACAGCCCTGAAAAATGGGCGTGTTTTCTTCTGAAATGCTGCTTGTTGCAGCTCCCTCCAAGCATCCAGCCTGTCCTGTCTTGTAATTTTCCCAGTTGTAACAACCTGAAGTTCAAGTGCATTTTGTTAAGATCATCAGAGAAACACCAAATGCTCATACGGAAAAAAAAAGAGTGAGAAATTAAATTATCACAAGTCTGCACAATTTATGCAAAACAAGGGACCCAAGAAACAAAATGCACAAACATTACAAATTTGTTTTATACTTTTGCGGACAATGTGTACACAGGATACTGTATAATAATTTGCTGAGATCAGGGATAACCTTGGAGAATAAATAGTATGAAGGCCTAGGTTTCCGTGCTAGGTTGTTAGCACGACCAACAGCTACAAGCCCAAACTTGGGACCATAGCCATCTGCCCATTCCCAATTATCTGACATCGTCCAGAATAGATAACCAAGCACAGGCACACCCTTCAAAACAATGTCTATCAGTGCTGGAAGTTACAGATACATGACAGTAAGGAATGTTTCATTACAAATTAATTTAAGACCGGACCATAATGATTGCAGCATAAATGGCTAACAGGTGCTCCAGAATATATGGTTTCCGAATCAGATCAGTCTCGTCAGAAACTCCATTTTCAGTAATTATAAAAAGGTATATTCAAGCTCTTGTATCGTTCATTAAACTGAATCAGGATACGAAACAGCCCATCAGGATAAACACCACGACCAGATTCACTGTACTAATCATTGTCCACGAGCTTTAGACCAGGGCCTGATATCACCTCCTGCATGAAAATGGAGTAATCAACTCCTGTTGTTTACATGTTCAGATCATTTATCTAAGCAGCTAGTATTTAATTTACCTGCCCATAGTAGTTGATGCCAATAAAATCCAATTTATCACATATGCTATCAATGTAAGGGAAAAGGGTCAATGAATTAGCCAGTGTGACAGCAGCAACATCAAATAGACCATAGGGCCATGTAAACGATACATGATGAGCGACACCAACGATTGGCTTCCTTTTACTTTTGCTGTAAAACACCACCAAAGAGTTCAACTCAGAATTGTGGAAATTCATGAGAAATTGTATTTCAAGTAACATATTATATACCTTTCTGAATGTATGTTTTTTTAACGCACTTTCTGAATGTATGTAGTCATAGGCTTACTGCATGTGCAATGGCCATCCAATGTAATGCTTGGTTATATATACCGGTCGGTAAAGCGAGATGTTGCTACTTCAATTGCATTAGGGTCTCCACCGGGCCAAGCACCAAAGCACAATAGGTCAAGCATTACAAACACATGAGGTTCATTAAAAACCACCCAAGAGTCCACCAAATCAGATACGATCAACAACAAGCTGCCAGACAAAGCTAAAACTAACTTTATTTGAACAGATTCATGTAATGGAAGAAATCTTGACAGCCAGTTTTGACTGCTAGAAAGGATTACCGCACAAAATCCATAAAGTACTTCACGGTTTTTTCATCCTCCACCCCCATACTCTCCAGCCCAAGGTGGAAGTGAGTGGTGAAATAAGCGTAAGCATCACTTTCATTCCATATTCATGAACCCTTTGAATGATCCATCTATACCGCTCAAGTGCTGCGAAATTGACCTAGAAAAGGTGATGGCTGTCTTATTCCACCATTGCGAGAGAGTACAACACACTACAGAGAGAAGAAAGAGTATAGGTGTTCAGAGAAAGCACATGAAGTGCAGACTAGGTTCCTAAGACTTACTGAACTCTTCAACTCTTCAGTTGGTTCCTTAGGCATTACCCTTGTCCAATCAATCCCAGGCGGAAAACACTGATCCCAGTTTCCTTAGCAAGTTTCAACTCAGTATCGGGATCAGACCAAAATTTAAGCCTTTCTTGCCTGAACAAATCGGTACAGTTTGCCCACATGTGAGAGTCCATTGTGTGTAAGCAACACATTATGCACAATACTGTTCAGGAAAAAAGACAGCATCTAGAATATTAGCACATAACGAAAAAGTTGGAAGTGAGAAAAGACAAAATGCACTTACGGGCAAGGAACATTGTGCCAAGCTGCGACGTTGTGGCTGCAATTATCGCCAGAACCAGATTCACCACCCTCGACAAACATTTCAAACCCCCTGAGCATTGCCTCCATGGCAACCTTAAGAGGCTTCCTCTTCTCTCCATCGCCAGCCTTTTCGTCCCCTCTAGACCTAGAAGCCAACTGAGCGCCTCCGTCCCCTGCAGCCAATGCCATCACCGCGTCTGCTGTCTTATGGTCACACATGGCCTCCTTGTCATCGCAGGAATGCTCGACTGCAAACTGAAGCCAAGCATCTTCCAACCTGTCCTCGACATGCACCGGCGCGGTCGCTAGCCCAAAGAAGAAATTGCCATCTTCTGCGAAGAACCAGACACACCATCAGGACTTCCATGTTGCTTGGAATTGACTGCTTTCCAATAATCAGGTATCTATTAACTGCTTCACAATAATCAGGTGTCTATAGGTCGGAATTTCAAATCTATGAAGCAAATACTCTGACTTGTGCAGACTAACAATGATGTACTGATTAAGACTGAATCTGATGCAGGGATACAGTACTCTGCACCCACAATTTCACATCAAACCTCCATGTTTTAGTTAGTCTCTTTGATTCTTTGATTAATTCACATCATCAGTTATCAATTACTCGTCTTAGATTAGAAAACGTAACCAATTCCACAACAAATTACCATATATACTGTATAAACGAGTCAGTTGTGTTGCCTGAAAACCAAAACTGACAACCGCAGAACAGCACCAATGCGGCCGTTCAGAACGATACCCAGAACCATTGGACCCAAGCAGTCCAAACAAGTACAAGGCGGATATAGGGTTCGAGAGGGGGGAGAGGGGAGCAGGACCTGCGGCCTCCTCGGCGGCGGGGGCGGCGGCGGAGTTGGAGAGGAGGGCGCGGAAGTCGGCGATGGGGTCGGCGGACTCGTCGATGGGGTTGGGGATGTGGCGGAGGTGGCGGCGCCGGTACCGCGCGAAGGAGGCCGCGTTGGCCGCCGTCACGGCAGCGGCCACCAGGACGGCGAGCCTCGCCGCCGCCGCCAGGAACGCCGGGAGCGGCATTTCCGCAACAGTGCGCCTCTCTCTCTCTCTCTCTCTGCCTCTCTCGCTCCCTGTGTGGTTTTATTTTCCTGGGAATTTTTATTTTTTTTTCGGTGGAGAATAGATGGATGGATAGGAGTGGCGGGAACCAACGGGACAGTCCGTTGGCGTCTTGGCAGTGTCTCTCAGTATGAGGAGTTTTTTTTTTCGAAAACCTGACAGTGTTGACAGTGTCTCTCAATTAAGGAAGCAAAGAAGTTTATATGAACAGGAGAGCCCAGAAAGACCCAGCTCCTACCCCGTGGGGGTTAAACGGTGAAGGCTAAGTCGGGTTGTTAAGAACCCTAAAGTGCAAATCAATGTCCTCCTTGACTTTGAAAGCCACTTGTCGAGCATCCATGATCACATCTTGAAAAATCATTGTGTTTCTTTCCTTTCAAATGTTTCACATCATGTACATCACCGCTCCATTGAAGTGTCGTCATCTCTTCCTTGGGACTTTGATTGCCGCTCGTTCCCACCATATAATTCTAAGCTTTGTCAAATAATTTTTATAAATAAATCATTCTATGCTAACTTCGTAAAGTGGTTTTTCTAAGATAAATTAAGAGGCCGAGAGCTTAAAAAGGTTGTTTTTCATGATTTAATTGTGACACAGATACTCATTTTACCTATACTTTATTTTATAGAATCCAAAAGATGTTCTTTTTTAGCTGTAGAAAAAATCACTTCTACAATGAATCAAGAGCAGGAGAAGCTCTACCGAACAAGCTGTCAGAGTTGGTTTTGGTTCCATCGATTTTTACAAGGTAGTGGTGTCGAAGAGACAGAATTTTTTAAATCAAGAGCAGGAAACCGGACTCTGCTCTGGACCATCCGCGGAGGAGGAAGGAAGCCCGGTGGCTTCCCTTCAGTCCGCCGCCAAGTCGTAGTCGTCGTTGTCCTTCGTTAGTTTTTCGCCAGACTCCGCACCGCCGTGCCTCGTGGCCGCGCTGCGCGTGGCGACGGCGCAGGGACAGAGCAGGCGAGCCCAGGACCGACGAGGGCGGCAGGTCCTCCTCATCCGCACGCCGTGTGTCAAAGACGCCCGTGTTGATGATGCTGTTGGTAACCATGCTTCCTCCGTGGCTCGAGATGAATGGGAGCAACACCATGCAACCCACACATCCATGGAGCGGGGAAGGGAGGAGCACGGGAGATTTAATATGCGCTATGCTTTTAGTGGTAAGCGACGTCCACATCAACAGCGAGGCGTCTATAGTGACTTCGTGAATTTAGAGATCTGCCGGCTCAATCCTTCGGAGATGCTCATAGAGATAGAATTTGCATACGTGTGTTCATAAGAGGTGAATGTGCGTCCGTGTTGGGCGTCTACGTTGTACTGTACAATTTGAAAAAAAAAGGGCTTTTATTGAAGTGCTCACCTCGTCAAATTGCAGGAAACCCCCGGTGGCCGCCATGGCCGCGGCAGTCTCACCCACCTCCAAAAAGATGACGGCGACGAGGACAAGGGTCCTCAAAACACCCGTCAAGGGTCCTTATTCTACTAGGGAACTTTACGAGTGAGGGAGGGGAGGAGGGGAAGAGGAATCAGGCCACCTGCCTTGTCGCCGGCGAACACGCCAGGGAAGAAGGCTGGGGGCCGGCGGCGGGACTCTCACTCGAGGTTCTCAACTCTCTGCTTGTCTATCATTATCTTGTTATTTTGCGATGACTACGACGTTATCTTTGTCTTTTTGGAGGACATATATAAATGTTACAAAATATATAAATCAGGTTTTCTGCAGCCACATGACAGAAGAAACAGCGCGATGGCCGACGTAGAAACCAGAAACATGCAGATCAACTCTTTTTTTTCACACTGTATTTTAGCGTATTTGGATTGCGTTGCATTGGATTACGTAGCTAGCGTAGTTGCCAGTCGATTCCAAGACTACACGATTTAATTGTTGGGCTGGCCCAAATAGGCGATGAATGATTAACATGGCATGTGAGCCCAATAGCGGTCGTCACAATTGTACCTCGCCGGCCTGCGTGTGACCACTTTGACTTTGGTGCCATTTGTCATTCTAGCCCACCGCGGATATATGATGAACCATCCACATTAATTAATCATAGGTTAATTAGATCTAAAGATGGCAAGTAATCTACATTCTAAATAGGGGTACCACGGTTCACAACACAGACCAAGCAACAGTTCCCCTCCCCTCTGCTTCATACAGACCAAGCACATATAGCGCGCGCTCGAGCTAAGGATTAGATGAAGTTGAGATTATTGGAGATTGATTTAGGGCTATGTAATTTTGGACTGACTATATACATTCAAAGTATATCCTAGAGTGCTAGAGATAATAAATGAGAATAAAAACCGAAGCCATACTTGGAGCCTTTACCTGATTCGCCTTGCCCACCTCACCTTCGGTAGATGGCTCAAGCCACGAGATGGCTTTCTCGGGATAGCTAGGTGTATGATCCAAACAACTACCTCAACCTACAGTCTGTTCGTTTGGCTGTGGCTTGTCGTAAACGATCATAAATTTCCAGTCGGAACTGTATTTTTTTCTCACACAAACCAGCCAGCAGTACTTCTTCACGAACCAGCAACGATACGAACCAGCCAACCGAACAGGCTGCTAGTTTCTTACTCGCCCAGCAAAACAGTCCCAACAAAAGCACCAAGCATGCCCTGAGTAATGACACTGATTGATGCCACCTGCCGGGACAAATGATTTATTGTTCATTGTTGCCTTGTTGGTACGCTACTTAGGGGCCGTTTGGTGGCGCTCCTCGACCAGCTCTTGGAGCAGCTCCGCCTCGCAGCCAGTCAAACGGCTCCGCTTCACGTCGGGAGTCCCAGAAAATGCGCTGAGAGGAGACGAGAGAGAGGGAGGGAGGTAGAAAAAACATCTTCACCCAGGTCTGTGGGTCCTGGCGCAGGACGACGGGCAGATTTGCCCATATCGGGCCACACGGGAGCAGGGTCGCCCGGGGCAGCTACCGCATGAGCGCAGGTCGCTTGGGCCCGCCACCGCGGGAGCGCTGGTCGCTGGGGTCGCCGAGGGACAGGCGATGGCACTACGGGCACGTGGATGCTGCGGACACGGGCTCACCGGACATGCGGGGGCGGCAGCTATCCTTTCACTCGGAGAGATGGCAGCCGGACGACATTAGGAGGTTGAAGAGTTGGACCACGAGCGACCATATAAGGTAGGAAAAGAAAAAAAGAAAAGAAAAGGAACAGAAAGAAAAAATATAAAATAAAATAAGTGGAAAAAAAAAGAAAAATAGGAAATTTGAAAAATATAAGGGTATTCTAGACCACTAATTATCTATTAGTCTTAATTTTCATGTTTATTCTTAATTCATTAGAAACATCATACAAATTGAGATCAAAGATATAAATCATGTGTGCAGTCAAGTCAGCTAAGCAGGGTACTATAGATACATTCCATATCTTTCATCCACTCCACACAAAAAAAAAACCGAAGAAGCTATTTTGCCAACAATTTTTAAAAAGGCTTCTACTCTATCAGAGAAACTACTGCTTCGGAGGAGGTGGAGCCGTAGCCGTTTTTGTCGAAGCCGGAGCCAAAGTCGTGTTTGAAGAAGCCGGAGCCGAAGTCATGTTTGAAGAAGACCGAGCCGAAGCCGAAGTCGTGTTTGAAAAAGCCGGAGCCGGAGCCGAAGCCGGAGCTGAAGCTGTTACTAAAGAAGTCGAAGCCCAAGCCGTTTTTAGCAGCCGGAGACTTGCCAAACGGGGTGTTAGGCGGTGGCTGGAGCCACGTGTCGCCGAGGATGTACTGCGTGCCGACGAAGGGCTTGGCCTGCTCCTCGGTGAGGTCCAGCGCCCACCCCACCCTCTTCTTCTTATTGACGTCGGCGCCGGGGCCAAAGCACTTGAACTCGCCGTAGTAGATGCCGCTGCTCTCCGGCTTGGCGATTTCCCAGCCGTCCCAGCCGACGGGGACCACCTCCTCCCCCATCTCCGTGTACGCGTACACCACCCGAGACGAGTCCCCCCAGGTAGATCTGGCCGCCCTTGACGCCGCCGATGCTGCAGTTCTTGAAGGAGAAGCCGGTGTCGATGGCGCCCTCGATGGACTTGGTCCGCTGCTGCGCCGTGAGCACCGCCACCTCCTTGACCACCGACTCGATGCGGCAGTCCTCGTAGAAGCTCCGGCCGAAGCCGAAGATGAAGTCGACGCTGCCCCGGATGAGGCAGCTCTTGAAGTAGTGCAGGCCCTTGTGGTCGTACAGCGTGTCCTGCCCGCCGTTGATGGTGCAGTTGTACATCTGCGCCTTGGTCCCGAACAGCCGCATCGCCACCGCCTGGCCACCCTTGGCGCCGGGCTTCGCCAGCGGCGCGTCGTTCCGGAACACCACGCCGTACGCCGTGAAGTAGTCCGACTCCACCGCCAGCGTCGCGCTCCCCACCGTTCCCACGGGCTTGCCGTCCTTGCCGTGCGACGCCGCCGTGTCGTTCCAGATCACCGTGGCCGGGTTCATCGGGTCCGACTTGAACGTCACGAACGCCTTGCTGACGTTCACGAACAGCTTCTCGCGGAATTCCGCGCCGGGCTTGAGGTCCAGGATCACGCGCTTCGTGTTGCTCTCCGGGATCGCCTCCAGCGCCGCCGTGATGTTGAGATAGTCGCCGCTGCCGCTGGGGTCCACCACGTACGTCACCTTCTTCGCCTCCGCCTCCTGCAGGTTCTTGTCCATGGGCTCCTTGCCACCGTCCCCGGCGGACTTCTGCGCGTACAGCGCGTAGTTCTGCTGGTTGATCGCCACCCAGTTGCTGAACGCCCCGCCGCTCGCTGCGTCATGGTGGTCCGCCGATGCATGCCGACCTATCGATCGACCTCTCTTCTTCCTTCTCGATTGATGGAGTGGTGCCGCGGGTGGTGGCCGGCGGTTTTTAAGGTGGGCTCTCCCGTGTTGACCGTCGGTTGGACCGCGCAGGTTGGCCATGGGCGAGCTAATCCGGGAGCTCCGATCCTCCGCCTCCGTGAGCGGATGCA